TATAAATCATAGATATTATGTATAGATAAAATTAACAGTATAATATAATTATTATTGTCAACATGTTTTTCAATTTATATGAAATAAATCTAAATGAGACATAATTTAAAAAAAATATTAAGTAACCTATGATGGTTATGTGTTGAACAATTGATAATTGTTTTACATCTCCACAGCAGTCACAGCGGCACGCAGAAAACGAATGAATAATTATCAGAGARAATTAATATTTAATTCGATATTGTATATATGTTCTTCATTATAACTAATATTATAAAAAAAATATTCACAAAGACACAATGTTGGCACAAAATTGACTTATAATAAATTCCTCACGTCAAATAGCAATTGATAGGTTTATAAAATACATTTTTCGTTAATTCGGCACAACGTGATAATTTGTGGATTAAAATTAATACCTAATACATATATAATACGTTTAAAGTATGTTTTCATTAATGTGAATATATTAAACATTTATGGAATTATAAAAGACAAAACATTTATTGCATAATATTTAAAAGTGATTGTAATGATATTATGTATAGGTATTATGTGGTTCAATAAGTTTAAAAGTTTACAAAATAATAAAATGTGTGACGACGTGTGAGTTCGCCTAATTTMTATTCGATAAAACTGAATATCATAAAACTTATAACTTAATATTATAAAATACCAGCATATATTTTCCTTGAACTTAAATCGTTTTAAATTGTATATAATTTAGTATACAAAGTTTACCGCACATTGATTGTCGAAAAGTTAGTTCATGGCAATCTTACCGCGTTATAATAATACGACTATTATAATAATGTCTTTGTGGAGCACAAATACGAGTGATGTTTAAGTTAGTTACAGGGCGTGTCAGGAACATCTGACGATTATTTTACATTTCAATGCGTTAGATATTCGTGTTACGCATTGTATATACATATTATAATGTCCACGTTATACGGGCATACGGCATATATACGCAATATTTTAAGCGCAGCTTGTCCACGCTGCTACGTGTATTCGAACTTGAAACTGACATTTATAATATATTGGTAAAATTTCATGTGATTCGCTGGTACAATACTGCAGTTTGTATTCACTTTTATATTTAATTACATATATATATATTTTTTTTTTATCGAAATCATGAGGCGTGTGCTGAAATGGGGCTATATAGTACGAGCATAAAACATAATTAATGATAACGAAATAACTKCAGTTACCACATTCGGCGAAATTTTTTTTATTCTCAGAACCACAGCTCCGAATCTTCAGCCGGCTATAAAACGCCTGTGCAATATAGTTGTAGTGTGAAATATATAGAACATCATTTCGTTCCAAGTGCAACATTTTTCGCTAAAATTCTCGTAT